CAACTTTATTGTAGTAACAGAGCTGAAGTAGATGAGTACTGAGTACTTCAGCCAGTGTACACCAATTTGATACTGTGAACAATAGCTGTAGCTGCATTTCATTTGTGAATTATAGCTGGCCTTGGTTCTCCAGGGACTGCTGCCTTTTCTCTTGTTTTCTGCTGTTTGCTTATAAGTGAGGTGTGTAAACAGGAAGAAGTTAATGAAAAACCTTTTTATTGCAAATATATGTGGATTGTGTTATAATTCATTGTAATAGTTGTGGTTAAATAGAGATGAGATGGAAATGTATATCTACCTGGTAATATACATCTGGTTGGCATCATCTCAGTGCCACTGTTAATTGGTGACCGGACTGGTTATCAGGTTCAGAGATGGAAAGAAGCACTGAAGAGTGAACAGGAGTTTAGGAAACAAACACATGCCATTTATCTGAATAAAGAATGAAGCCACTGTGAGCTGCCGGTTAGCAAAATTTTAAACGTGAAACAATTGGAGAGTAGGAATGAAGCAGTAATTTAGGGAACCCATCTAAGGAAGAGAAAAGTTTATACAGGGCTATTTTGAACCTGGTTAGACCTATAGAAAGCACAGAATTGATGTTGAATGCCATCAGGTCAGCAGGAGCTGAGACCTGGAACTGGCTCTGGGAGTGTAGCTTTTACCTTTTTCAGATCAGTTAGCTAAGGGAAATAACTTACCTCGGACTGAGAGTGAAAGTAAGAAGTCAGGAAGAAGGCTAGCACCATGTTAAGAGTAAAACAACTTGAAACACATGTGCCATATGAAGGAAATGTACTGTATAAAAAGAACAAAGATGTCTGTGGCCAGAATATAGGTATCAGGCACTTCTTTTGAAGATGTTCAGAAATATTTTTTATTCTAACACCTTTGATTATATGCAAGTGTCCAGACAGCAGATCTTTATCTGCATTTCTAAAATGATACAAAACCTGACCTGAATAGACATGAGGCTGTTTGTCAACTTTATTTATCCCACTTAATGTGATTATAGGGTGCTGTTTCAGATCTGCTGGGGACATATATAATTATAGCATATTATACATGTACTATAGTCTTTTTATACATTTTGAAGAGTTCTGTGTTCTGAAACAAATCTGACCCATGGGTTACGTAAGAGATTGTGGACTTGTTCTTTAAAACAATGTTTTGTAGGTGACAGCAGAATTAAATTTATTTTCTAGAAACCATAGTTTATTTGATATAATTCAGGGAATAACCAAATACAAAACAGTTTTCAAATGTCTAAAAATGTTCCCCGTTCCCTTTACATTTCTTCATCTCAGTTTTTGTTATATAATGGTTATGGGTCTTGCTTAAGACAAATACAAACTCAGAATGACTGTTAAGAATTTCAGTGTTTGGGAAGTTTTGGAGAATGTTGACTCTTCTTGCTCAACAGTTTTTTCTTTTTTTTGTTTGAGACAGAGTTTCGCTCTTTTTACCCAGGCTGGAGTGCAATGGCGCAATCTCGGCTCACCGCAGCCTCCGCCTCCCGGGTTCAAGTGATTCTCCTGCCTCAGCCTCCTGAGTAGCTGGGATTACAGGCATATGCCACCACCCCGGCTAATTTTGTATTTTTGGTAGAGACAGGGTTTCTCCATGTTGGTCAGGCTGGTCTTGAACTCCCGACCTCAGGTGATCCACCTGCCTCGGCCTCCCAAAGTGCTGGGATTACAAGCGTGAGCCACCGCGCCCGGCCAGTTTTTTCATTTAGGATGGTGGGTAAGACAGGCTAAGAAAAAAGGCAGCATAACCTCTGGTGGCAGGGTGGTATGGTGCTGAAGAGGTCCTGGAGTCAGGTCCTAATCCTGATTCACAATTACTAGCTATGTGACCCTGGGCGAGACTCTTAACTTTTCTGAGTTTATTATCTCTAAAGTGGTGAAAATTACACAGAACCTGCCTCTTAGATTATAGTTACTATTTTGGGTTCTATTTTGGTACACCTGATTTTATGTTCTTGTTTTCAAACTCTGATGAGGTACAATTAAATACTATGGAGTTAACGAGGACAATTCTGGTTTTAGGGAAGGAAGAAAGAAGATTTAACTCTCAGGTAGCTAAGGTCAGCTTCATATCGAAGGTGAAATTTATGAAAATATATAATGTGCTTTTGGGTTTTTAAATTGAAAAAATAGCTGGAATAGGCTGGGCAGGGTGGCTCATGCCTATAGTCCCAGCACTTTGGGATGCTGAGGTGGGCAGATCGCTTGAGCCCAGGAGTTCGAGACCAGCGTGGGCAACATGGTGAGACCTCTGTCTCTACTAAAAATACAAAAATTAGCTAAGTGTGTTGGTGTGCACCTGTAGTCTCAGCTACATGGGAGGCTGAGGTGGGTGGATCACTTGAACCCAGGAGGCGGAGGTTGCAGTAAGCCAAAGTTGTGCCACTGCACTCCAGCCTGGGTGACAGTGTGAGACTTTGTCTCCAAAAAAAGAAGAAAAAATAGCTGGAATGATTGCTGAATAATGTTCTTGGACTATACTTACTAATGCAGGAAAAATAGAATCAGACCTGGCTCTAAATTTATAATGGGTTTATTTTTCTTTATTTTTTTTTGATGGAGTCTCACGGTGTTGCCCAAGCTGGAGTGCAGTGGCATGATCTCGGCTCACTGCAGCCTCCGCCTCCCGGGTTCAAGCAATTTATCTGCCTCAGCCTCCCGAGCAGCTGGGATTACAGGCGTGCACCACCACACCCAGCTAATTTTTGTATTTTTAGTAGAGATGGGGTTTCACCATGTTGGCCAGGTTGGTCTTGAGCTCCTGACCTCAGCTGATTCACCCACTTTGGCCTTCCAAAGTGTTGAGATTACAGGTGTGAGCCACTGCACCCAGCCAGGTTTGGTTTTCTTTATGTTGTTGACCTACTAATGTATTAGCTTTAAGAAAACCCAGTATGTCAAAAACAAAGCACAAAGTTGGTAAATGAAATAAACCCACATTACCTAAGGATTTTAAAATAATAATTGATAGTTGCCGTC